TCTGAATGCCATTTTGATCCAAAACGTCTTGATCCATTAAGCCAGTAATCCATCTTTTCTAGGAGGCTTCGTAACACTCCTAGGATCATAAAAATCGATGTTTTAAGGTCTTGTATGTCCAATACAAGAATTGAGCTCAGACTAGGTTATTTATGAAGAAAAAGGAAATAAATTCTCAAGCATGATCTCAAACATCGTTCAAAACTCAGATCCATAACATACAAGCACCATGGGACCCTAAAGACTCATAAAGTTGCTAACTTTATGGAGTCCCAACACTCGAACTCTTAAGCAATGGATAAACATGCATAAAACATTAGATCTAGCAACAAGGAAACATAAAGCTTGGATCATGGTTACTCAAAATGGTCCAGAAGTGTTGCTAGAGGTTGCAAATGGAACTTCCAAGCTGAAACTATGCTTCAATGGTGATCTCTTCTTCTTCAAACCACCAAAACTCCACCAAAAGCTTAAGAATCTCGTCGTGAGATCAGCATAAATCAACATTTTCATTTAATCATTCCTCACGTCGTGGCCCTTATATGGTCACGTCGTGAGCCTTGGTTTTACCCCAAAACCAAGCCTTTGACTCCTTGAAGCCCTACATCGATCTGATCTGGAAACCAAGTGTTACAAATCGATTTTTGCTATTTACTTTTAATGAGCTCATGATTTTTTTGTTTACAAAAGTATGATGAGAACCATTAAAACAAATACAAGTACCATTTCAAAATCTGGCGAAGTGATTTTATTGTTTTGGATTTCGACGAAATTTGTCATGGCGTGTGGTGTTTTCCAGTCATTTGATAATATTAAAGGCTCAAAACCGTGTTACTCTATTTCTATAATTTTCTGAATCTTGTAAATTAATTTTGACAAAACCGTAAAATTGGTCCAGTGGTTTGCAGAAAACTGTAGATATGGTCCAAAAAGTTTTCAACTTGCATGAAAGGTCCAAAATCAATAAATTCCTGTGATTTTGGTCCAAAAAACTTGAAAAGACGATTATGCATTTTTATTTTCTTTTTTGTATTTTATAACTATTCTACTACTGTTTTACTTTAAAAATAAAAAGAAAAGAAAAAACTTATCCCCCACCCACCCTCGTCGTTCTCTCTCTTTCTCTCTCTCTCTCTCTCTCTCTCTCTCTCTCTCTCTCTCCTCACCTCATCTGCAATTTAAAGTAGATACACACACTATTTGATCTCGAGAAGATGGATTTAGGTTAATACTTAAAAATTGTGTCAAGTTATTGAACACAAAAGATGCTTCAATCGAGAAAATCATAAGCAAAATCACCTAGCTCATTAAAGATAATATCAAAGTTTCAAGTTTGAGAGAAAAAGTCAAATCACTAGAAGAAAAAGTCAACGAATCTTAATCTAACCTGAAGAATGTGAATTCAACAAACGAATCGATTAAAGAACGTGTAAGAGAAATGGAAAGCATGATAAAGTCATTAAAAGATAACATTTACACAGCAGAAGCTAGGCTAAAACAGCCGAAGGGAAGGTGGCTCAAATGACTGATTCAAACATTGAATTAACTGACGAATTAGGGTTTCTGAAAGGAAGCCATGAAAGCAGCTCCAAGAAGATGACAATACTTGAGAAACAATCGAGAGAAGTCGAGCTTGACTTATAATATACAAAGGGGTCTTCTAAAGTTGGTCAAGAACAACAAAACATGTTGTATTCTGTACTAATGGTGGTGGAAATGAAATCCAACTTTTTATAATAATCTCTTCATTCAATTATGTTTTCTTCTCAAGAACATCATCTCCAGAACCAGAGAAAAGTAGGTAGAGGAGAATGTCGTCCCTAAGCAATCAAACAGGAAGAAGAGGGTAATTCGAACCCTAATATGTAAAATGATTTTGTAGTAGGCGTAAAAATGGGAAAAAATTAAAACAAAACTGAAGATTTTGGGCATTTTCAATTTTCATCGTATCAACTACATCTGGGATTGATTATGGATTTTAGGGTTTTTAGGAGGGATGGTCGGAGAAGATGAATTGGGTGATTGTTGAGAGAGAGAGAGAGAGAGAGAGAGAGAGAGAGAGAGAGAGAGAGAGAGAGAACGGTGAGGGTGGGTGGGAGGATAAATCTTTTCTTTTCTTTTTATTTTTAAAGTAAAATAGTAATAGAATAATTATAAAAAATACAAAAAAGAAAATAAAATGACATAATCGTCTTTTCATGTTTTTTTGGACCAAAATCACGAGAATTTCCTCATTTTGGACCTTTCATGGAAGTTAAAAACTTTTTAGATCCCTATTCACAGTTTTTCGCAAACCACATACACCAATTTTACAATTTTATCATTAATGTTCGGTATCTATTAATTTTGGTGACAGGCCTTGTGTTGGTTTGGATATTTGATTTCATTTTCTCGTGTTCTTGTGGCATAGATATCCGGTATAGCTGAAATCTGAAAACATGTTTTCATATTCTTCTTGTTGTTTTGTTGTACTGTTTCCATCTTGGCGCTGATTTTATTTATTATATAATACAAATGTTGCCGTTTATAATAAAAAATAATATTATAGATCTTATCCTAATCGAATCGTCTCTTAGATTTATGGAAAGAATTTTAGCTTCTTCTCCTATAAGTATTTATTACTATGTTTCTAGGTGAATTTTGAACGTTTCCAATTTGTTATGGTTATACCTCTTATGACTCGCATTCTCCATTTGCTTTTTCTTTCTTAGGCATGAGGTCAACTACTAAAGCTGTTCCTGTCTCCTCTCTTTTCCCACATTTAGGGGAGTTGGATACGTGGATAATGTTGTTGTTTTAGATATCACAATTTAGACCTGACAATTCGTGTATGCGTGTCATGAAAACGTGTCAGCCACGAATTTGACACGATACGATTACACGATGAGAAATAAGTTTTATCTCAATTTTCAAGATGTATTTGTGTCGTGTATTCGTGTCGTGTCATTTTTCTCACAGATTCGTGTATTCGTGTCTAGAAATGCCAGGTATTCACTTGATCTTTATACCATTATTCCGATATCTTCCATGTGAAACACATAAAATAAATGGTTGGAGTATCGTATTAGGAAGATTATAGGTCGACTTCATGGGGACAAAAAGACCTCTCGTATTTAAACCATCAAAATCATTCATATGAGAAAGACTTGATCGCAATTGGCCTAAATTGTGATGTTCCTTCTAGCCATGTTATATGTTATTTATATTTTTTAATTGTTTTATAGTATAAAATAGCATTTGTTGTTACACTTGTTCATGTATATACATATTTTGTTTATATGTTTTTATAAAGATATAAGAGTTATAGATTTTCCTTGAAATTGTCAATTGTATATTGATGATATATACAGTACATATATAAATACATGAGATTGTAACTAACTATCCATACAAATAATTAATGATTTAAAACTTAAATCAAATCTAATCTATAACTCTTATAAAAGATCCTTAAAGTTTAAACTATGTATGAGATAATCAAATTTGCCACACCCTGATTATTTAAGGGATTTTTGATTGTGAGACACAATGTTATAAAACACAACGATTTAGCCAAACATAATTATAATGATTTTTCTATAACAATATGCTTATTCTTTTTTCATAAAATTAGTAAATAATTATACAAATTATATCAAATAAGTGGTTGGGATTTTTTTTTAAATAGTCCAGGCATGTTGAGTTTGAATCTATACGTATATATCACATGTAAATTATTGAAAAGACGTTGATAATAAATAAACAAATGAAATTACAAAAAGCTGTTCTGCATTTTTGTCTGCAGTTAATTGGTTATAACTATATCAATTTTGGCGACATGTTAATTTGCAAAAAAGAATAATTTACTACTTACATTAACAAAAAGATATAGTTGGTTGCTATTGAACTCTTTATGTATAACAATATAAGGTAAGAAAGTTGATAAATTTAAAATAAGTTGTCGAGAGATTTTGATATTGTAATGTGTGAAGGGTCGCTGTCAAATGACACCAAGAACAGGGCATGCAAATGCAGTAATAAGCATGCACTCTAGACTCATGCATAACTGTCAAGTTTCTCATAATCACACCAAAATAATAATTTTTAATTAAAACAAGATATTTTATTTGTGGGCTAAAAACTCTTTCAATCCCGATGGACCACACCAGCTACAAAGTGGTCCATATCAACCATGAATATGATCCTTGTTCTAAGGATCCTTATCTTTTCCTAACTTCAATTCTATATCAAATCCACATGGTATTTAATACGTTTACAACCCGATTAGGCATGGCCCCCCTTCAAGCTTATCGACCATCAAACCCTAACCTTATACTGTGACTAACTCACAAAATATCTTAAAGATTTTGCAACGAGGCTTTAGTGAGGACACTTTAAGAGACCACACTCGTTGTTGTAGGTTTTTAAGGACGATAGATTGACTTTTAGAGACGACTTTTGTTCCTCTAAAAGGTGATTTTCTTCTAGTTGTATGCAAATGGTTTTGAATTTTGTATGGATTGAGGTTACAACCCAAATGATCATTATATTACTTTAATTTTTCTAAGTTTTAGGGCAAATTAAAATTTTCATCCTTGTGGTTTGGTAGTTATTCTAATCAATCTAAATTTTCAAGCATAAACGTAATAAGCTTTTTTCAAGATTTAGCAAAAAAAAGTTAACTAATTCCCAAAAATAACCATGTATTTAGCAGGCTGGCCCAAGAAAAACATCAAACTATGTTTTTTTTTTTTAATACACAGATTTCTACATAAATACTTAAATAGCTATTACCAAAACCTTAAAGAATATAGAGGTTTATTTTGTGAATTTTATAAATCTCTCAATTTTTTTATAAGTCTCATCCAACTCCACCTATTGGTGTTAATTATATCACTTAACACCTTATGCATCAACTGCGTAAAGAGGTTAAAACTTAAAACTATAGTGTACTTCACACCAACCAACACAATAACTACCTCCTATATATAGTTAAGAAAATGTATACTAGTATAAACAACATGTTTGAAGATCTAGATAATCTCTATTCCGACAATGAATCTCAACTTAACCTATTCCCCGCACGTTCTGATGACGAAGAAGTTCTACCATTCATGCCAGGTTATATTTTAAGAGTTATGACTGGTGCTGAAGATGAACAAGACATGGTCATGGTACTTCATGGGCATATAAACGCTATCATAGAAAAGGAAAAGAAAAAGATGAAATGCGGAGAAGGTTTTAAAAAAAATGGTTTGCGGAAAAATTGCTTTGTAATTCCGACAAAAATATGTTTAAAACTTACGGTAGAAAAAGACTATCGTGAAGATTATAATAAAACTAGTTTATAACCCGTGTAAACCACGGTTGTTATTTTTATATGGAATACATGCTTGATTTTGAATATTACTTCCGAATACAAGAACATGTTCAATAACATGTTTGCATAAAGATATCATTTATAGTCTACTACAATTATATAAGACATTTTTGTGATTGGTATTTCTCTAAGTAACATAAATGAAACCCCGACTTTTAAAACTAATATATGATTTGACAGACATGATAATTTTTAGATGCTATTTATGTCGTTGATGATCGAAGACATATGCTATATACAATTACAAATATAGTTAATAACAAAAAGTAAACATTCATAAGAAAGAAAATGGAATATATTTGAAATAATTGTTAATAACAAAAAGTAAACATTCATAAGAAAGAGAATGGTATATATTTGAAATAGTTTATAAAAGTTATAGGAAGAATAATAATAAAATAAAAGTCCATGGTATGATTATGCTCATGTTAAAAAATTTGTATGGTGAATGAAGTTTGGCCGACATGGTAGATATATTTTTGGATTTTAATTTCTTTAATTTTTTTTTTTTGCTATTTAAGGTGGTATAATCATGTTATTTTTTAAACTTGTAGTCAAAGAAAAGAACTTTAATTAAAAATAATAATGAACACGTATAGTTAAACATAATTCATAAGGGTAAATATATAAAATGTCAATACGGTTTATGTGGTTACATAAATGTTCACATATCATTTTTATGTTTTACAACATTTCTTTAATTTACAAAACAAATTTCGTATCTATTTGGGAAATATAGATGTTTACAATTTCTTCACTAATGAATATAAAAAACAATTTAAAGTACAGTAAAATCTTTATTCATGTTTCATATTGTTAAATTATGAACTTAAAAAAAAAAATTACTAACTTCAATTCTCACCGAGCCTGTAAACCCAATTTACACTTCCTTCTCTCCCCCACCTAAAGACTGCATTGATACAAGGGGAAATCGAATAATATGCATTCAAAATAAAACCATATTCTTGCCCTAAGACTATCGCCGTTCTAATTTCCTGGAACCACCGCCAATCCTTCTTCCGTCTCTATTTTTCACATATCTGAATGTCCGCCTACGATCAAACCATCCATCGATTACATGTCAAATATACTCGATTAAACCCCTTTTCACACGATTGTCGTCGATTACACATCAGAAAGATCAACCTTTGAAATTGAAAGTGATATGACTTTCACCGGAGTGTTTGAAGTCAACTTAACAAACCGACGTACACCATATGACAACGGTAAGATTTAACCTTGATCTATTGGAATTGTTCTTCCTTGTTCATTATTTTAACATAAGATAAGTAATTATATACATAAAATTACCTGTTTAATTTGAAAAAAAAAAAATTCAGATTGCGGAGTTCTGGTAAAAAAATTGTCAATATAAGAGAAAATAGGTAAAATGTAATACACTAACCCGATGAATGAAAGCTATGAATCAAACAGATGTTTCTTCTGCAGAGGTCAATGATGAGATAGAAAAGAATGATATTTTTTTATTGTGAGATGAAGTTGGTATTCATAATTTATACATGGTAGAGATGAGGAAGAATATTGGTTAGTTATTTTATAAAATTTCTTTTGATTTGTTAGTAAACGAATTATAAACATTCCATTTAAACCGATTATAGTGTGCTGCTATGTAGGGAGAAATTGCCGGTTCAAAAAAAAAAGAAGGGGAAATTGGAATATGAATAGCTGTTTTTTAGGATATCATATCTGTATTCTCTATATTTAAATGCAGGTAAATTAGGAGCATTAAAACTGATTTGCTAATTTGTAGGAGCTGATATGGAATCAAATGGTAGTCAGACGTTGAATTTAGGAAGATTAAGAGGCAGACACATGGCAGTTAAAGACTTTGACACATGGCAGTAGGAGATTCAAACTATTTATTTATTAGAAAAGGAGATTTGACAATTTTATCGAAGAAGATAAATCCTTGTATCCATTAAAATTTCAGGATAAATCATAATTTCTTAAATTAAGTTGGATAGTATGATTTACTATATTTTAGTATGCACCTTTTTGTAACGGTTTGTATATCATTTTATAAATTTCTGTGTCTATTTTGCTTCATAATCTTTGCGACTATTGTATCATATTTTTTCTTTAATCTACGTATACTTTTTTATTTTACGTCTAACAAAATATTGGAATAGTAAAATACAACAAAAAATCAACAAGGCATTAGTTTTAAAACATACTACAGGTGCATCATACACGATCCTAAGAAAACGAGTCCTACGATGAAAAGTCATAGTAACTTGTTGTCATATGCCTTGTATAACTATACTACGGTCCGACACTATTTTTTTAAAACGTACATACAAACACCCCAATCTCCCAAGTTACCTTATGGAGACACCCTGCAACTTCAATAAACTACATTTCCAAAGGCTTCTCGTAGATGCCCACGTTGTGTAACATTGAATGTGATCTAACAATACGTATCACTTTCTTCAAAGATGTGAAATTTTTTTAACTAGTTGACTCTGATTTTGACTTTGACCAAGTTTGACCTTGAGAGTATTTTGGGTATTTTGGGATTTTGATGGAAATTGGTCATTGGTGCGATTAGATGTTGATTAGAGAGCTGAGATTCGGAGTCGGAACCTCATCAGCTTCCGTTCAGTTTGTGAGGTGAGTTTTCCTCACTGTACGTGTGGGTCGAATACACCAAGTAGACCTGACAATTCGTGTATGCGTGTCGTGTATTCGTGTCAGACACGAATTTTCACGACACGAATTATAAAACGTGTTTGGGGTATCAAACACGAAAACGACACGTAAAAAATTCGTGTGACACGTGACACGACACGAATAGACACGTTTTTCAGCCGTATTACACGAAAACACGAAAAAAACACGAATAGACACGTTTTTAATGGCTTTTTTTTAAGCTAAGGCTATAAACTAATTGACTTTTACAAAATTGGTCCCTAATAAATTATAAATATAAAATTTAACCCTAAAGTATATATGTGTATATACATGTTTGTACGTATCACGTGTCAACACAAATTTGTATCGTGTCTTATACGTGTCTAAACAGGTAAATTCGTGTTTGACACGTATAAGACACGGATTTAAAATACGTGTCAGACACGAATAAACACGAAACACGAATTTCTAAAACACATACAAAGAAAACTCGTATCGTGTTTGTGTCGTGTTAATCGTGTCGTGTATCAAATTGTCAGGTCTACCACCAAGGCCGGCCCTTTGGATTTGATATCTTGTAATGTATGCTATTGTATTGTAATGATCTGTTAGATCGGTATCCTGGTATATGGGATGGTGTTATGCTTAGTGATAAGTTGATTTGTCTGTTGTCTGTTGGTTGATTATATGTTTATATGTTATGTATATGTATACATATTTGGTTGGTGGTTGAGCCTTTACTGCTTTATGCGTGAGCCAACAGACCGGGGGCATTCCAACCCGATGGTTGAGTGGGCCCGAGGGTATTCCATCCCGAGGATGACAGGACCCATTGTATATTGGCATTCCAACCCGATGGTTGATGGGCATGAGGTATTCCAACCTGATGGTTGACTAGACTCATAGTGTATTGGCATTCCAACCCAATGGTTGAGGGGTTGGGGTATTCCAACTCGATGGTTGATTGGACCCGACCTGCTGTTATTATATATATTATTTGTTTGTGTGTTGGTACTTTGGGGGATCTCACTAAGCGTTAGCTTACAGTTTTGGGTCATGTTTCAGGTACTTCAGATGACCGCGGGAAGGCGAAGGCCTGACCGCACACATCCTCATGTTTTGACTTATGATTTTGGGAAACTCTTATGTTGAAATGTTTTTGAAAACTATGTGTGTAACAATTTGTGTATTGGGTTGGTTTTAAAAAGTTTAAATTTTTCATAATTTTTTATGGATGTTACAAAAATCCTATTGATTTCTAAATAATGACAAACAAAGAAATTGATTTACCTGGTGTGGATGTGAAGCTCGGAATCGCAGCCGCAGATTGAAGCGCTTGAGTCGGAGTTGGATTCGGGGATGGATTCTCGCTATCGCAGACTAGCAACATCAAAGACAATATGGGCATCAGGGAGATTAAATGGAAATTAAGTATGGAAAGAGTGGAAAACGGCACTGATTCTCCCGACGTGGAAATCCCATACCTGGAATGGGATGAGCTAGGATTGTCGATGTGATGTAGGAATCGACTGAAGAGATCGATGGTGGAAATGTCTATGTTGATTGTTGGCGTAAGGTCTTAAAAGACGAAGGCTGATTGATTTCGGCGATGGATGATGGAGTCGACGATGTTGTAGGATGAGATGAAAAAGATTGAATCCATAAGAAATCGATTTAAAAAATCTCACCATCGTTTCAGTTTGTGATCCAGATTCTTTTCCGGTTCCCTTTTATGGTGGAAAATATACCCACATTTGCAGATGACGGAGGATCTGCCTCTAGGGTTTACGTCGTGCCTCCGAGATCAGCCTCCTTAAATCGAGAACGAGAGCTTGGTGGTCATCAGTGGGGATATGGTCGTTTCCATAAAAAAAGGATTTTAATTATGGATATTAATTAAATTAAAAATATTAAATAAATGTAAAATTACATAATTACCTTTTTAAAATGATTGATCCACAACGATTCCTAAATCCACATAATACTTAGTTAGAATACTTGAACATACTTCTCTCTCTCTATCTCTATCTCTCTCTCTCTCTCTCTCTCTCTCTCTCTATATATATATATATATATATATATATATATATATATTAAAATTACATAATCTTTATAGGCTCTATTTATTTTGTAGATGAAAAAAATTAATTAAAATATTGGTTTATTGTATGTTAATGATATATCAACTATTAATATGGATGGTAATTTACAAGTAAACTTATTTGATGTTTTTTAAATATCGTGATTATTATTTCAAATATCAATAGGACTTTCAATATAGAACATGTTTTTGATTTATGTTAAATATAACTATTATTGAATTTAATTATTTTTGAAATGATAGATTTTTATTTAAAAAAAATTTTAAAAAAAAAAGAACTAGCAATGAGCTAGAAAATAACCATTAGAAAAGGGAGGAAGAAAAAGTTAGATTTTGTAACCAAGAAGTCCAACTAAGCCAACCCGTAGAACATTTATTGGAAATTCAAAAGAATGACCTATCTACCACATCATCAAAGATCGTGGATTTCCTAGGCAAATCTGTCCCAAAAACAATGCAATTACGAAATTCTACAAACACAAAAAAAACTGTCAAGACTGCTGCATCAAACGCCTTGCATTAACTACCAACCAACTGACACAAACTCAACCAATACATCAAAGAAGAGATCGAAATCTTGTTGGGAAGCTGGACACCCCACCAAACTGCAATACGATCCTAAACCTGGATAAAGTCTAAATAACTTGTGAAAAGATGATCAATTGATTCCCCTGCCAACGAGCAAACAAGACATAAAATCAACTGTACTTCAATCCCCTTATAAGAAAGTTTGTCTTTGGTAGGAATGCTATGAAGACTCACTCTCCATAATAAAAATTAACGTGATAGGAACAATTATTCCATCTATTTTCACTACCTGTTGAAACCAGTATCCCAATATCCAAGTAAGCACAGACAAAAGATATTAAAAACTTGTTTGACACATTTAAAAGTCTCCCCAACCTATCCGATCTATCCTCCATGTGCATCTGCTACATCAAAGCCAAGAAACCATCCCACTCTCCTCTATACCACCACTAGGAGGGCGTCGAAGAAACTCCACCTCCAAGCCTAAGAACACACGATCTTTGTCTGAAAATTGTCTATGATTGTCAACAACAAAGATCTAATGATACACCATCGCAAGAGGCAAATCACATACCTACACATCATGCCAGAAGGGCGTGAGTCTCCCATCTCCAACCCTAATTAGACATAACCACTGAACATTAAAACCCCAGTTTCTCAGCTGACCTAGCATACAAATAATACCATTCCAAGGACCATACCACAACCTCCTCATATTCAAAGATGAACACCGACCATCCCTACCATATAACATGTGAATAATTCTCACCACATAGAATCCTGACCGTGAAAAAATCTCTAACGCCACTGAAAAAGCATCGCCCTATTATAGGAAAATAAGCTCCCAACTCCCAGGCCACCATCAACTCCCAGGCCACAACCTCCTCATATTCAGCCTGATGTATTCAAAGTAACGCAAGATGAATCCCATTCATCGCTTAAATAAATAAGAAAGGAGACAACGAGTCACCCAGTCTTAACCCTCTTTGAATCTGAAACTCGTCAGTATGAGAGCCACTGAAGTTGTAATTTCTTCCTAAAAAATAATCCAAGGGTTATCAACCCCTACAAAATACATAGACCAAGACTCTCAGAGCACCTCCTCAAATTCCTCCAAGTCAAACTAGGTATGAAACAAACAAAAATGTGAAGGCCCGTAATCCACCTTATGCTCCAACAAAAGAATCGACCGATGATCGAAAATTTCTTTCTCCAAAACCATACCCAAGAGATGTGGAAACGAGTCAAGAATCCCATCAAGCACCAAGGACCGATAAAGCTTTCTAAACTTCAAACACCATCTACCAAACCAAGTAAACCGCGGACCACCCATATGAATATCAGAAAATTTTGTGTCTTCAAATAAACTTATTAAGCAGTTGAGCGGAAGTTGGATGGAACTGCGACCCCAACCTCTCGAACTCGTCGTGAACTTCATTGAAGGCCCCCATAACAATATGCTCCCCGAAAAAGAATGAATCAAAGAGAGATGCTTTGCCCAAAGATGACATTTACTATTAATCCCTTGAGGGCGTAGACAGTAATAAGCATAACATCTAACCCGGTCAAAATCCAAAATGCTTCAACCACAACAAACCACTCAAAAACCACAACACGTGTATACCGAATTCTATCAGGGTCCCAAATAACCAAGATACCATCGGAAGCAACACAAGAAGGAGAAAAAGCATGCATGAAAGAAACATTGCCCCAAAAAGCTCGAACCG